GTTTGTCAGTGAAAAGATTGTCCTTAAAGTGATCCGACGAGACATAGTCCATACGCTTTAATTTCCTAACTTTTTCCTGGGCCGCCCTTTCGGGTTTTCGATCCACCGGGAAACCCTTTTTTGCCCAAGTCTCCCTTTCGGGTTTTCACTTGCCGGGTGTACAAATTTTTTATTTTATCCCTAACTTTTTCCCGAACCTTTTCGGTTCACCGGGATGCCCTTGTTTTGCCTAGGTGTGTCAACCTAGCGGGTCTTTTATGCGTAGTATCTTTTGACTATGTCTGCGTTCGTAGGGTGTGGCTAGATCGTCGCCGTCCATGGTGGCTAAGATCATTGCCCCACCAGAAAAGATGTTCTTGATTACAAATGGTCCTTCATAGGTAAGAGTCCATTTGCCCCTGGGATCACTTTGTGGCAAGATGATGCGCTTGATCACTAGATCTCCAACTTGATACACTTGGCGTCTGACTTTCTTGTTGAAAGCCTTGATCATCCGCTTTTGATACGCCTGACCATGGAAAACAGCAGTAAGTCTATTTTCATCAATTAAGTTTAATTGATCAAGTCGGGTCTGGATCCAATCATCCTCACTCAAACCTGCATCCTTCATGATTCTTAAAGAGGGGATCTGAACCTCAATAGGTAAAACAACCTCCATGCCATAAACCAAAGAATAGGGTGTTTCCCCAGTTGATGTGCGAGCCGTGGTACGATACCCATGGAGAGAAAACGGTAGCATCTCATGCCAGTCCTTGTAGGTGACTGTCATTTTCTGTATGATCTTTTTAATGTTTTTATTAGAAGCTTCGACTGCACCATTCATCTTTGGCCTATAGGGGGATGAATTGTGATGTTGAATCTTGAACTGCTCGCACAAGGCGGTGATCATAGTATTGTTAAGGTTTGTACCGTTATCAGTGATGATCCTTTATGGGATACCGTACCGGCAAATGAGATTCTGCTTAATGAAGCGGGCAACAACATTCTTAGTAACGGAGGTGAAGGAAGCTGCTTCGACCCACTTTGTGAAATAATCAATGGCCACTAGAATGAAGCGGTGTCCATTGGAGGTTGTAGGCTTGATCTCCCCCAATCATATTGATTCCCCACATAGCAAAAGGCCAAGGAGCTATTAAGACATTTAGAGGAACCGAAGGCACGTGCACCTTATCTGCATAGATTTGACACTTATGACAGGTCCGAGAGTGTTGATAGCAGTCTGCTTCTATGGTAGACCAATAATAGCCTGCCCGTAGAATTTTCTTCGCCATCGTATGCCCGCTAGAATGAGTGCCAAAGGTACCTTCATGCAATTCAGCCATGATCTTTTCAGCTTCAATCTTATCCACACAACAGAGCAGAATAAAATCATGATTGCGTTTGTACATGATGCAATTACTTAGGAAGAACTTAGCTGAGAATCTCCTTAAGAACTTTTTGTCATTGACTGAAGCTCCTTCCGGATATTCTTGAGCCTCGAGATACCTTTTGACTTCATGAAACCAAGTTGGTCCACTACTTCTTCGGTATTAATCTCGTGACAGTGTGTTGGTTCGTCCATTCACTCAATGGTGATCTGGGGAGATTCGTTATCCCAATTAAGTTAAAACATGGATGCCATTGTAGCTAGAGCATCTGCTAGCTGATTTTCCTCTCGCGGGAAGTGTTCGAAGGTAATCTGCTCGAAATATGGTAGCAATGTCAAAACATGTTCTTTGTAAGGGATAAGGTTTGGATGCTTAGTGTCCCATTCTCCTTTGATCTGACTGATGACCAAAGGTGAATCTCCAAACACAACCAAAGATTTGATTCCCAGGTCTATGGCAGCCTTGAGTCCAAAGATGCATGCTTCATATTCTGCCATGTTATTCGTACAGTTGAAGCAAAGTCTGGCAGTAAAAGGAGTATGGCATCCTTCCGGAGATATGAGTACCACGCCGATACCGTTACCAAGTGCATTGGATGCCCCATCAAAGTACAGGGTCCATCGGGATCCTTGTTCAGGTCCATCATATGGTCTGATTCCTTCACAGTTGTCTACTGTCATGATGTCTTCGTCAGGGAATTCAAACTTCATGGACTGGTATTCTTCTACAGCTTGATGAGCAAGATGATCAGCTAGCACACTGCCCTTTATAGCTTTTTGGGTCGTGTACTGTATGTCATATTCTGTTAGGATCATCTGCCATCTAGCTATCCTTCCAGACAAAGCAGGCTTCTCAAAGATGTATTTTATCGGATCCATCTTAGATATCAGCAAAGTGGTATGAGTCAACATATACTGTCTTAGCCGGCGAGCAGCCCATACCAGAGCGCAACATGTTTTCTCGAGCTGTGAATATCTAGTTTCACAGTCGGTAAACTTTTTGCTCAGGTAATAAATAGCGTGCTCTTTTTCGGCCAGACTCGTCATGCTGCCCCAATACGCACCCCATTGAGTTCTCTAAAACGGTCAGATACATGATTAGTGGTCTTCCCTCGACTTGTGGCATCAAGACAAGAGGGTCTTATAAATACTCCTTGATTTTTTCGAAAGCAATCTGACATTCATCATTCTATCTAACTACCTGATCTTTCTTCAGCAGTTTAAAGATTGGTTCACAAGTAGATGTTAGGTGAGAAATGAACCTAGCAATATAGTTTAGGCGTCCCAAGAATCCTCTGACCTCCTTCTCAGTGCGAGGAGCAGGCATTTCTTGTATTGCTTTGACTTTGCAGGATCAACCTTGATGCCTTTGTTGCTGACAATGAAACCTAAGAGCTTACCAGACTGGACTCCGAATGTGCACTTGTTCGGTTCAACCTTAGTTTGTACTCCTTCAACCTGACAAACAGCTTTTGCAAGTGATCAAGGTGTTCTTCTTCAGTTTGTGATCGGGCTATCGTGTCATCTATGTAGACCTCTATCTCATGATGTATCATATCATGAAACAAAGCTACATGGCACGTTGATAGGTTGCCCCGGCATTCTTCAGTCCGAATGGCATCACTTGTAGCAGAACGTACCCCACTGTGTGACAATGTAGTTTTCTCCATGTCCTCGGGTGCCATTTTGATCTGGTTATAGCCCGAGAATCCGTCCATGAAGAAAATACTTTGTGTTGGTCTGTATTGTCAACCAGGATGTTGATGTGCAGAAGTGGAAAGTCATCTTTAGGGCTGGCCCTGTTTAAATCTCTATAGTCCATGCACATTCTTACTTTGCCGTCCTTTTTAGGCACGAGAACAATGTTAGCAACGTGTGATACGGTGGGAGAACTGACTTGAGGTTTTGCGTTTTGTGTTCGCAGATGTTTCGGTTTAGCAAGAGTCGCCACCGACTTTTTATTTTATCCTAAGGAAAGGTCAAAAAGCACAGGAAAGACCTTTGAGATGTTTTCTTGGGTTCGGGAAGTAGATTATGAAAAGGGAAGGTGCAAGCACCCTTTTCATCCATGGTTATCCATGGGCTCTTAGTAACTTGTTTAGATCACTTGCTTTGCTTTTCCAATTGTTTGAAATGGTGCTTTGTGTGTGGTTTTGAAAGATGTTTGAAAAGAGGCCATCATTGTGGCAACCTTTGTAATGATTCTTGTTTGAATGTATACAAAGATGTTTTTGTCTTTTGAAAAGATTTCAATGTTTGAAAGTTTGGTTTGAGAAATGTTTTTGAAATTGTGTTGTGAGGTGTGTTTGAAAATAGCAAGGATGTTTTACAGGCTTTTTGATCAAGTAACTAAGAGCTATCTACCCTATTTTACTCAAGATCTTTCCTATGTTTTTAACCCTTTTGACAGTGTTGTTTCACCATTGCATTTGGTGAACAACCTTGTGTTAGGATGTTAAACGGGACAAGCGCGGGCCATCGTATAGACCATGATAGCAATTGTGTTAAGCATCTTTGGCAATTTTCTTTGAGGGACTTGATCATTTTTGTTTAGGCAACCAAGATAGCGTCATCGAGGGACTATGATCTTTTCTTTTGTTTTTGTTTTACCAAAGTTCCCAACATACATACCATGGCCCATTTTTGAAGGCAACAAGTAGATTGTAACCCTAGGGGTGCAAGTGTGTATTGTGTTTTAATTTTCATGCATTTTTGTCTTTGATTAGGTCAAACTATTTGTTGATTTGGATTTTCGCATACAAACCATAATTCTCTAATCATGGCATAATTGAAAGCGTAAAGTGCGAGAATTTAAAATTCTAAACTATTACAACATGATTATGGGGATGGGGGTACAATTTTGAATGGGGGGTATTTTGACAAGAAATATAAACCATAATTTACTATTACATCCAAATTGAATTTAATTGCATGAATAATAAATGAATAATATTTAAATAAACAAAGTAAATAAATATCAAATAATATGTATTATGCAAAAAAAGGTTTTTGTTTACCTATGTATGTAAAAGTATTTTTGATGTAAAAAGGTATAAAGAAATAAAATAAAAAAAAGATTAATTTCATTTGTTTTAAGGGTAAACCCTAATTTCTTTAAGAAAATAAATACTATATATTATTTATATACAAAAAAAATATATTAATATGTGTAAAAATTAAATATACTTAAAAAAAGGTATTTTTAGTATAAATAATAATAAAAATAAAAATGTAATATTTTTGTATTTTTATTCTAAGTATTTAATAAAATAAAAGTATATATATATATATATATATATATATATATATATATATATATATATATATATATATATATATATATATATATATATATATATATATATATATATATATATATATATATAT